GCCCTAACTCAGATGACTTTTGTGGAGATTATACAGATGAGAAGGACTGAAGGATGTGATGCAGCAGTTTCCATCCTGCATTGGTACGTATTATGGAAATCTGGACAATTTAAGGATTTTCAGCATATAATGCAAATAAAAAAGCATACAATGTCTTTGTGGCTTCTATGTTTAACTTTGCACAACGGCATCTCATCTGTACAGGCATGAAGTGGAGAATAACAGTGAGTTCCATGAGATTCCTGCAAGACCCAAGTATCACTTAATATGAGTCTGCAGAAACCTTGACCTAGCAAGGAAGAAGTACAAGTACCTCCAGAAAGAGATCACCAGATCAGAGGAGCGAGCGAGAATTTTTGCTTTATGGAATCCTCTTTCTGATCAGACAACTTATCAGCTGCGTCTGTCTTTGCATCCCCTGTAAGGCAATCATGCAGAGAAACTCTCTGCTACTTAGGGCATATTCACATTTATGTTTGTGTCTCAAAATACTTTTTGAAAGGCAGCAGCTGGCAGGAGGGCCAAGTCAATATTCTTAAAGGAAAGCAGGACTGCAAATGCCAACCCGAGCTCAGCCTTTTTTCAAAAGCCGAGGGAAGAGCACAGACATGTAATATGCTTTGGAGGAAATGTGAATATCATGTCCACAAAGAGGAAAGCTGAAGCTAGAAGATGAGTAGTTGCCTTGGGAAACAGGAATGCATCAGAAGTACAGGTTAAAGCCAGAAATCTGGAACTCTGTTTTCATGCAGATTATAAAACAACAACATTGTAGGTCACCTGAAATGCTAATGGATTTGATGTGATGACAAAAACCTTTACTGTGATAGGACAGGAGGCAATGGACACAAACTGAATCAAAGGAGAGTCAGTCATCTGACCATAAAGAAAGGCTCTTTTACTGTGGGAAGTTACTGTACATCAGCAAAGGTTGCCCAGAGAGCCTCCGTCCTTGGAAATACTTAGACCTCAGCTGGACAGGGTCCTGGGCACCTGGCTTGTAGGGGGGGGTTGCTTGAAGAGGGGAGGTGGAGTAGATGATCTCAAGAGGACACTACTCACCTCAGCCCTTCCATGATTCCGTGAAGATTGAAGCAACCGGGTGGATGATGCCATCTAACACACTGCAGTGTGCGTCTGTGATACCTCATGCACAGTCAAGTCTAGACTTTCTTTCTGAGAGACTAAGACTTCTTGGGTGTTCTCAGACAAATTATTCTATTGCTATTGTTGTTGTTGTTATCATTATCATTGTTAGTGTTATTATTAAATAGTGAAGGTATCTTACCCTTCTGTAACTTTGTCAGATCATCCTTTTTTTCCACAAAAGATTCTTCAAACTGCAAGAAACAGAGAAGAAAAGTTCAGCTGTCGTTCCATGTTTTAGCTTCTTCCTCATTTAGACAATGAAGGCACAAAGAGCTGTGTTTGGGGCATTTTAGCTTTGAAAAAATAAATAACATTTGAAAGCTTTCTGGTGCAATGGCCATCACCATGACAAAAACTCACAGCTCACAAAAACTCACCGATCCCCACACTCCCCTCTGCTTCAATATCAGAAAGTCTTAGTGGTAAAAAAGAAAACTTTGATTTATAATGTAAAGT